AGTTAATTGCAGTAGCTGAAGTTGCGTACCTTAGTTCGAATTAGGGGGGTAGTGTAGACCTGGCCTTAGTATTGCATATATTTTGCGTCACGTGCCTGGTGCTGTATTTGATATGGCAGGAAAGAAGTTAATCAGATAACTAATGTGGTTATGCATCATTTCTTTTTTTTTTAACTCCATGCAGGAGAACAAAGAGACTGGAATGGAAAGTGTGATTGAAGCTGTTGCGTGTTTCAAGTATGTTTTACTTTTTATTCTAATCTCACTTTTTTAAAAAATGGAATGCGAGTTATTTATGTAAGGGAGTAAAACCATAGGCCAGAGCCGAAGCATTTCCCCACACAGCTCTGCTAATGTGCCTCATTCATAACCTGTATCACCTCTGCTATTTTATTACTAAGACGTTTCATGAGCAGCAATTTTTAATCATGCCAATTTAGGATTAAGTTGCTCATATAAATGGTTGTAACTAACGTATATTTTTTCTTTATAGAAAACCTGGATTAACAGGCAGAGGATTGTATGAACTAAAACCAGAATGTACCAAGGATTTCAATCTCTATTTCTATCACTTTTCAAGGGCAGAGCAATCTAAGGTAACTAACAAAAACCAAGAGACTTATCACTTCTTAAATTGTCTTCTGTATACTTGGCTTCTAAAGCTGTATTCTTCTTTTAAGTGCTAATATGAGCCAATATTTTTAGACAAGCTTTACTCTTCTAGATCATATTTAGAGAATTTGACTCTGATTCTGCAATAAACCCTGTGCCAGTGGACCACTGTGCAGAGATCCACTGAAATCAGTGAGGCTTCATGTAGGTGTAGGAGTCTGCCTGCACAGAACTCATTACTTGGTTAGGGTCTTAATGTACCAAAATATTTTGATGACCTAAGTTTCCATTCAGTTTTATGGAGTTCACCACTTCAGTAGTTCCGATTTATAAAAGTTCAGACTTGTCTCATAATTGTTGTTTAAAAAGTAGAGGGTATGTGTGTGTAGTCAGTTTGTGTCTTTGTACAGATTTGGAATAATCTTAGCACCATTCCTTTTGTCAGGCAGAGGAAGCACAAAGAAAGCTGAAAAGACAAAACAGAGAAGATACAGGTATAACCTTGGGGAAGTAGAGGGGAGGGGAAGTATGGTGTATATATATTCACATGGATGCCCCCATTTTCTCTTATTTTCACACTCAAAGGCTATGCATTAGAATAACAACACCTTTTAGATTACCCAAAAAGCAATCTTTTTTTTTTCTCCAACCCAGTAAGCAAGGATTTGAATTTAAATCTGTCTTGGAGCCAGCCTCCTGAATTCCTTATCCCCCCAGCATACTTTCTTTTCTGACTCTGAGTAATTCTTGTTAAACAAAGGTGTCCTATTTTCAGAAAAAAAAAACTGGTCTATTATCTGTATTGCTTACCCTTAGTGTTTTATATATTAATGCTTTTATTTCACTTCTTTACCCCAATAATGTAAGGCAAAAAGTTTGTGGGGAAATTAATGCTTTCCTTTGTTCCATATCTCAGTTTAATGCTTTTTTATAATTCAGTTAAGTAGTTTTTAGGTTTATGAAGTACTTTACCTAATAATGCAACTTATCAAGCAATTACATAGTATATTGGTTTAGATTCTACTCAATAAAGAGAAGTTCTAAATTGTGTAAGTATTGGGAACGTTTCAAAAGCTTTAATGTTTAGCAAATGAATTTCTGTTTCAGCACTTCCTCCTCCTGTTCTGCCTCCTCTCTCTCCTCTTTTTGCAAGCCTGATTAATATTCTCCAGTCCGATGTCATGTTGTGCATTATGGGAACAATACTCCAGTGGGCAGTAGAACATAACAGCTATGCCTGGTCAGAGTCCATGCTGCAGAGGGTATGTATAGACATTTAAGTCTGTGCACGTGTTAGAGTAGAAATATCCATTTTAGTGTATTGATATTTACATCTATGTATAGATCCTGGTAACTTCAATGGCATCAGGAATATCTTAACTGCCAAATGAGTTAAGCATGAAAAATGTAGAAGATCAATTGTAAATAGAGGATTTTTTTCTAGCTTACTCTTAATTAGAAAAATAACACCTAGTGTCTTCAAAATATCAACTAGTTAATTAGTATTAGTTTTGAATTGCATGCAGCAAATCATCTTTGAGTATGAAAGCACAGGTAGGGGAAGCATGTTCTAGAGCTCTTGGTACATTTTTAACAGGTGGCCTCAATTTCAAATATATTTGTATATGTAAGGGGAAAGAATTCTGTTTGGACTAGTTAGAATAATTCTATAATTTTATGGTAAGGAAAGCATTTTTCTTCTCTTGCAACTTTGTATTTTCAAGTTTCTGTAACTTTAAAAAAACCAGTACATTTGGGCGTTGAAATATCTAAAGCTTGTTCTCTACTCAAAGGTAAATCTTTTTTGAAAAATGTGTTTTTTAAAAACAAAACAAAACAAAAAAAACCCAAATGGAATGGAATTTTGAGACACAAAAACAAAACTAAAAAGCAATTTTCTCCAGTTACGGGACTTTTCAGATTTTCTGTGTAACTTTATAATTGCCTTTTTAAAAAAAAAACCACATTTTCAAGCTTGGCATAGACTTAATCCCCCACGAGGGCCCTTGTCTTTGTGTGAAAATTTTTTGTTTACAAATAAGTTTAATCTTAACTGGCAAAAGTAAGGATTACTCATCTGTGTAAAGACTGCAGGATTGGGCTCAAAATTCTAACAATTTGAAAATGTATTTGATTCTGAGACCATACATGTCTTTATTGGACTGAGACTGAATTTCCCACCTGTGCTTTTAAAATTCACTCTAATTTGATGCTTTGCGCTCAAAATGTGCAGTGTATAAATCTGAACTGAATTAAATATCACAGTAATATTGTACGAAATAATAACTATGTGCTAGAGGGACAAGATGTAATTGCTGTGGGAACCATAACATTGAAATCTTAACAACGTAAGAGTCAGGAAGTTTAATCATAATTAAGGCTACGATTTAGTCAGGGATTCCATGAATTTACCGGACCTCCATGACTTCTTCCACTTCAGCAGCTGAAGCAGGGGCTGGAGGTAGGACTGTGTGCTCCTGCCCTGCTGCAACTGGGGCTGGATGGCTGGAATCAGGATCCTGCAGCTCCTGCCCTGCGGTTTGTGGAGGGTGGAGGGACTGCAGTCGGGCTGTGTGCCCCTGTCCCACAGCTGCTGCCAACTCTAGAGTGGGGGCTGTGCACCCTCGTGGCTGCGCCCCAGCCCCATGGCGGAGGCTGCAGCAGTGGCCATGCGCCTCTGCCCCATGGCTGTGGCCAGCTCCAGAGCTTTGGCTGCGCACCCCCGCTGCACCCCCCTTCCTGTGCATACTGCTGGGGGCTGTGCTGCAGCCGGGGCCGTGCACCCCAGCCCCAGGGCTTCTGCTGGGAGCTACAGATGGGGCTGCATGCCCCTTCCCGGCAGCAGCAGCTGGCTGCAGCCAGCTCCACAGCTGGGGCTGCGCCCCTACTGCTGTGCCCCAGCCAGTCGTGTGGCTTCTGCTGGGCACCATGCTGCAGCCGGGGCTGCATGCCCCTGCCCGGGGGCTATGGCCAGCTCCGGAGCAGGAGGCTGCAGCCACTGAAGCTGGGGGTGTCCCCCCGCAATGGTAGGGGTCTTGGCCTGTCAGTCTCCCTCTTCCCCCATGAGACTCCATTCCTCCTCCCTATTTAGCCCTGCCCCCAGTTATTTTTAATAAAGTCACGGATAGGTCACAGGCTCCATGAATTTTTGTTTATTGCCAGTGACCTGTCTGTTACTTTTACTAAAAATAACCGTGACAAAATCTTAGCCTTAATCATAATTCAGTAACATATTTTTCATACATTTAATAGTCGGTATTTGAATATGCGAGCCTAATTCTACTCAGATACTTGCACGTTAGTCTCATTGACGTGAATGGAAGTTGAATGCATGTATTGGAGAGCAGAATTTTGCCCAAACAGTGACAGACTGCAGCATATTGACAATTACCCTGAGAATTCAGATAATTTGGCTTGAATTAATAGTTTTCTAGTTAATTCATTCTAATTCCTTGGTTGTGTTGGAGGATCCCAGGGCTTTGCACTTTCCCTTTATTATCTTCAGCTGTGTTACACTCAGGATTAGTGACTATTTTGTCTAATAAATGGCCCAAGATGGTTACAATTTACTAGGTTCCTCTTGTTGTTAATTCCTGGAATTGAATGCTCCAGTACATGTGGAAGAACTTTCTCTGACTTTTCTGGAACTTAATCTATGGTAGCCAGAGACAGTATGTTTGACAAGCTTCAGAGTTCACTGCTAGGTTTATCTATTTTAAACTCTTGATTTCAGCCATTTTATGGCCAGTTTGGGCAGTTTGTATTTTCAGTTTAATGCGGCACCATTTTTAAATTGGTAAATAGCTGGATAACTGATTTTTATTTCAATCTTCAGATGCTGCTAGACAGTTAAGTTTTAATAGTTCATGCTTTAGTTTTTTCAGGAAACTTTCCTGTACGTTAGGGCGAAGAAGTTTAAAACTTGTACGTGCATTTTATGCAAAAGTCCCAATAATAATATGCGGCTAACCCCAACAAACGAAGAAATACATCAGAAGCTGTCTTAACCCAAACCAGGGTTGTTCTTTGTACTATGGTCCCTATGGGTGCTTTACCTTAGGATGTATGTGCTCCCAAGCATTCTTGATCCTACATTTTTAGTTAGCAGGGCCTGCGCCTGCACACCATTGTGCTCTGATGCAAGGATATGTAGGGAGGGGCAAACCTACCACTGCCACTCCAGTTCCTTCACAGATGACTTTGGCTCGAGATGGAGCATTGTAGTGTCCATGTTAGCTTCACAGCTACTACCTTTATTCTTTATTTTTTTCTTAGTGTTTATTTAATTTTGTTCTTTGTTTCTCATTTGGTTTAAGCACAGGCTTACGCTTTTGGGGGGTCCTCCCCTCAGTCCCCATCCAGTCTTTTTGTGGTCAGGGCCTTCTTCACCCTTGGTGTTTGTCTGCATTCTCCCTGGTTGGATTATGCCAAAGATCCTGGGTTTCCAACCTTGCAAGACCTGCCACAGGTCACTCCCCTCAGTGATGGGCATTCCAGGTGCCTTAGAGAGAGACCTATGGCCCATCTAAGTGCAAGATCTGCTCCAGATTTAAGAGCAGATCAAGGAGACAGAGGAAAGATAGATTGAAGCTCCTCTTCATGTAGCATTCCTTGAGAGGTGCGGGGTCCTACTTCCTCTCCATATATTGGCCTCAGCTGCTCAGACTGTTCCAGTGACTTCAACCTTGGTAAACAGAGACCATGGGCTAGCTTTGGAAATGAAGCATTCTAAAAGGAAGAAACTGCATTCTCTAGAGAGACTCGAGAAGAAGGGAAAAGTCACCTTTGAGGCCAGGGAACTAGGAAACGTCACATCCTGATATGGGTACTGCTGAGTCTTCTACAGGCCCCTAGACCAAGATGCCAGTAGACCAAGAAGACTTCTGGTACACCTCTCATCGAGAAGTCTTCTAGCAAACTGCATCGAAGAGCACTGTCATCGTTGATACCAGAGGCGGAGACCTCCAGACCAAAGGACTCCTCGAGGAGCAAGGACTTCTCTAAGAAGCCTTCTTCAACTCAAGTGCCATCCTTGCCTCACAGTGGACAGAGGACACGCCATCTTGTAACTCGCATCAGGTCAGACACACTTGTTGCTCCATCATTGCCTTCCTGTCTGCTGCAGTATCTCTTGGGGTTTTTGGTTGAGAAGGAATGGAGCGGTGGCAGTCTGCCCATCCTTATATACCCTTGCACTGGAGCATGAGAGTGTAGGTGCAGACCTCTGGACCCATGGCTGCTGCTAACTAAAAATCTCCAAGAATACACTGTAGTATGCACATCCTAAGGTGGAGCACCCAAAGGGACAACACATCTCAAAGAACTCCAGTTACTGTACAGATAAGTAACCTTTTCTTCACAGTTGCTACACAGGAAAACGGAACATTGGAAACACACATGTAGAATACAGTACTTTTTGTGATGTGGATACAGTAATAAAAACTTATTTCAAATAAGTCTTCTGAATGAAGACAGATATGCCAAAGACAATCTTCCTGGACCAACTTCTATTGGTGAGAGAGACAAATTTTCGAGCCACACAGAGCTCTTCCTCATGCCTCTGTGTGGCTCGAAAACTTCTATCACCAACAGAAGTTGGTCCAATAAATTATCTCACCCACTTTGTCTCTTTAATATCCTGGGACTGACACAGCTACAACTACACTGCAAAGACAATCTAGGTAGTTACTATCTAAAGTTCACTTTCTTGTAATTTTGCTTTTTACTCAATTGTTTCTCTCTCAATGTAGTGTTTTTAGTTCCTTATAGACATTAGGGGATAGTATAAAATGTTTTTTGATACAAGGTCTGAAATTTGTGATTTTATTTAGGTTTTGCACTTGATTGGAATGGCACTACAAGAAGAAAAACAACACCTAGAGAATCTCAATGAAGAGAATGTTGTAACATTTATCTTCACTCAGAAGATCTCAAGTATGTCCATTCTTCAAATAATTAGCAAATTCAAAATCAGGAATATCAATCTCTAATATTTTGTATGTAAACGTCTTTTGCCCTTCTGAATCAAGATACATTAAAAGGCCACTTTAAAAGATGCTTTTTAAATACACTTTAAATCTGTATGTCTATAATTCAGTGCACAAAACCCCCAGAAGTATAGAATTCTACGAAAATAATGTTGTAGAAAATGTGCATATACATAAGTGTTTAGGTTCGGAAATATCTAACAATAGGGATAGTGTCATGCCTGATAAGCTTAATATTTATCCTCCTGTGTTTTTATATATTATCTTTTTCTAATATTACATTTTTCTAAAATGTCCCACTGATAAGCTTTTTTTGTTTCTTTTACTACGAATTGACTAAATTAATATTGCAACAATCTTAAAATCATGCTCCTTAATTTAATGACCAAACACTGGGTCTGTTGGGCTTATAGCTATATATTTGATATAAGTATCTTGTTATTCCTCCACTGCATCTTCCAGCTAGTTCCTGTGATCTGGTAAAGTCACTAAATTGACAAGATTCTTGGTTTGAAGTGAGCAGAAAGTTTCACTATCATTCCCTTGTACCAGTTCCAAGCTAGCACAGAGGGCAGAGTGACAATGTGTATGGTCTTGAAAACCCATTCAAAAAGCAGGATTTTTAGACTATTATATCTCTAATTTATAGGATTTAGAGATGGCTTATGAAGTTATTTTGAAACATAACATGTTTAGTCCAGTATAAAGAGGTCAAATACACTGAATATAGCTGTCTATATCTTTGTTCTAGGACCTGGTGAGGCACCCAGTAATTCCCCTAGTATATTAGCTATGCTAGAAACTTTGCAAAATGCACCTCATCTAGAAGTGCACAAGGACATGATCAGGTGGATACTGAAGGTAAATCAGAATTTTATTTCTAGGATTTTTCATGAATGATATAAAATGTTCACAATACATAGCTAATTAAATTGGGCTGGTTTTAGAAATTCATTATTGGAAAAAGTCACTGTTTCCTTCTGCTCTCCTCCCCCCAGTTTGTTTGTTGCATCCTCTCATCTTACAGAATTCAGCACAGTGGGTTTCTGGTCCATGAGTGGGAACCTTATGCACTCTCATAGCTAACAAACCATTATTATTTGTATTATTTAAATGCCACAAGCTAACTAATTTTTCTTGTTGCAGACTTTTAATGCCATTAAGAAACTAAGAGAGAGCTCTTCTACAAGTCCTGTGCCTGAGACTGAAGGAAATATTATAGAAGAGGTAAAAATAAGCTACAATGGGTTGTTGTTGTATAAAACAGCTATAGGTCATGAACTGCAATAGACTACATTTTTAATTAGTGACCTAAAATCAGGCCAGAATCTGCAGATATGTCTTTTAAAAATATAGTTCACGTTCTGTCACACAAGCTGCAGTTTAGTCAGCCTTGGTACAGAGAGGTTAGTTTAGTCTGTGGGGAGGGGTTCTTATTCATAACTTCATCACTGAGTCTGCATTTTTCCTGCCTGAGGCCTCCCTAGCTAGTAAGCAGGGCCTGGAGACTTTGCTCTTTCCATTATTTCTGACTATTTTGGAGGCTGCTCAGAGACATTTAAGAGATTAAATATTGTTTCTCCTGTTCTGTAGGTTGTTCCAAGTGTACTAGATCCAAGGGTATTAGATCACCCTACCTATTTGTTTAGGTCTAGACTGCGCTCGTTAGGCATGGCTTAGAGTAAAGGGTATTGGGAAGACACAATACCTTAGGGAAGCACAGCTTACATGGAGGGGAAGGCAGTGCCATGGCCCCACCTTCTCCACAGGAGAAGAAATGAAGCAACCTCTGCTCTTCTGGGACTCACACATGGTCTACATTTCTGCCTGACCCTTACATGAGCCAGACAGATGAGGAGACTACATAACAGCCAAACAGAATCATTTTATTTATTTATTTATTTATTTATTTAAATTGTATAATCGTTTGTGACTTATAAGTAGCTGAGGAATTAAAAAGTAAATACAGTAAAAATTGGAAATGTAACATTAAGTTCTTCAAGTGCTTGCACATGTTCATTCCAATGTAGGTGTGTGTGTGCCCCGAGCACAGTTGCTGGCATTTTTTCCGTTAGTGGTATCCATTGGGTTGGTTCTAGCGCTCCCTGGCGTCGCACGCTCATAGCGTCTGTACAGACCCCGCTCCCCTTCAATTCCTTCTTACTGCCCATGACCGTTGCTGGAACCTTCATTGCCTAGGCAGTACTTCTTAGTGGATTTTCTCTCAGTTTTAGTTTACATAGTTATTGTAGTTTTTAGAAGTTAGTGTAGTTTTAGTAGTTTCTAGATAGTTTGGGCTCCTCAGCTTTTAGATAAGGGAGTTGTCCACTGTCCCGGTGCTGAGGCATGCCTCGGTCACCAGCGTTCAAGTCTTGCACTTTGTGCAATAAGTCTATGCCTTTGAGAAACCCGCACTCGAGCTGCCTCAAGTGTTTAGGGGAAGCTCATAGGAAAGACCACTTTCAAATTTGCAAGGAGCTTAAGCCCTGGACTCAGAAGGACTGAGCTGCTCGATTTGAAGGTCCTACTCATGGAGGCAGCCCTAAGGCCAGCCTCAGAGCCGCGCTCGGACTCCGCACTGAGTACCTCGTCCTTGGTGAAGAGCGTTCCTCCATCAACCTGGGTCTCCCGGCACTGATCATCTTCTCTGGTGCACAAAAAGAAACACCGAAAGCACCAGGAGGAGAAGAGATCTTTGGTGCCGAAGGACTAGGGAGAGAGCTAGACCCATGTCAGGTCCCCGATACGACACTCTTTGTCCCCGATACGTCACGCAGCCACAGCACCACAGCGCCCTATGATGATGACTCAGGGTCGCTGACAGCTGCAAGATCTCTTCCACGACCCTCTCCAGCACTGAGTGGCATGGCACCGCCCGAGTCTCCGCAGTGCAGCTCATCGTCATCAGACTTGGAAGTGGGATTGTATTTCCCCCCATGAATGCAGCCAACCTCACTGCTTCCCAGGTGTTCTTACCCCACCTCAGCACCAAGTTCTTTGGTACCCTAGGGCACCTGGCCATCATATCTATGGGGTCTGCCTACCATGCAGTGGCCCTTCTGGAACTCTTAGGGGTTTCCCCCCAACTCAGGGACTTCTTTGAGAAGCCAGGGCACCCCTGGTACTGTGCAGGGATACCCCAGAACCGGATACCAAATACAGAACCACACCCCAGGAGGAAGCCCTGCAGGCTCCTGTGAGTGCTGAGGAACCAACTGAGGTGCCTGGTCCAACATTAGCTGCCTCTTTCTCCTCCCACGGTGGCACCAGTGACCTCCCCATCTCCAGATGACAGTAAGGCTTACCATGATCTGTTGAAACAGGTAGCTTCAAACCTAGGGGTCCAAGCAGAGGTGGTCAAGGCGGTGACACGTGGCCTCTTGGACGTTCTTTTGCCAGTGGGCCCATCTAGAGAAGCGGTTCCATGAGAGCATCATGAAGTGATAGAGCTAAAGGCCCTGTGGCAAACCCCTGCCTCCCTCCCAACGAAGGCAAAACTGAGAGCGGAAAAACTTTGTTCCTGCCAAGGGGTATGAATTTCTTTTTTTGCACTTCCCCCCCGGGGTCGTTGGTGGTTGCAGCGGCCAAGGAGTGAGGTCATGCGGGAAAGCTGGGTTCTATGCCCTAAGCAAAGGACCCTAAGAAGTTGGACCTGTTCGGGCAGAAGGCATACTAGTCAGGGACCTTCAGCTTCATATAGGTAACCAGCAGGCCCTGCTGGGGCGCTATGACTTTAATATGTGGGAGTCACTGACAAAATTTGGGGAACTATTTCCCCAGGAATCCAGGCAGGAGTTTTTCTCCCTAAATGAGGAAGGCAAGACCGTGGCTTGCGCGTCCGTGCAGGTGGCCCTGGATGCCACTGACTCTGTAGCCAGGCCAATGGCAACTGCGGTTACAATGCATAGGCGCTCTTGGTTGCAGTCCTCAGGACATCCCCAGGAAGTGCAACAGACCATACAGTATCTCCCATTCGAGGGCTCCTCGCTTTTCTTGGAGAAGACAGATGATAGACTGCACAGCCTTAAGGGTTCCCAGACAACCTTGAAATCCCTGAGACTTTATGTATCTGGCAGGTTCAAGAAAGCAGTATGAAAGCAGATGAGCCATTACTTCCCGCAGACTGCCAGGCAGGATCAACAGAGGAGGAGGAACAGGGGATTTAGGCTCAGGCTCCTTCCCCAATCTTCCTCGATTGGACGATGCAGGTTGTCTCGGAAACAAATGCGCAGGGCCTAACACGCGTTTTGATGAGACGCTCAAGGTCAACATCGGAATCCCATATGTATTGGATCCAGCTACCCCTTGTTCTCCAACTGCCTTTCCTATTTCCTGGATGCCTGGACCCATATCACCTCAGATCGCAGGGTTCTCAGCATGGTAGAACTGGGTTACACCATCCAATTCCTTTCTACTCCCCCTTCAAGGACCCTTTTCACAAGCTTCTGTTGGAACAAGAAGTCCAATCCCTCCTTCAGAAAGGGGTTCTATTCCTGCTATATCCTAATTCCGAAAGCTAAAGGTGGTCTCAGACCTATTCTAAACCTGTGACATCTCAACTGATATCTCAAGAACCCGAGGTTCCACATGGTCCCCTTGAGTTCCATCATTCCCTCACTGGATCCCGGGGATTAGTATGCTGACCTCAATCTAAAGGAAGCCTACTTCCACATTTCAATTTTTCCTAGTCACAGGCGTTTCCTAACGTTCGTAGTGAACTGAAACCATTACCAGTTTGTGGTGGTCTCTTTCAGCCCGTTGACCGCCCTTCAGGTTTTCACAAAGTGCATGGCGGTAGTAGCAGCCTTCCTCAGAAAGAAGGGAGTCCCCGTTTTCCCATACCTTGACAACTGGCAGGTCAAGGGCCAGTCCAGAGCTCAAATGGAAGCAGACATATGTTTCATCCAGTTGATTTTCAAAGCAATAGGCCTTCTGTTAAATGTCCAGAAGTCCACCTTGATCCCAGTTTAGAGGATAGAGTTGATTGGAGCACTACTCGACTCTGTGCAAGCAAGGGCTCTACTTCTGGATGACTGGATCCTCTCAATTTCGTCCCTAATAATGTCTTCAAGGTCATTGGATCACAACCATGCAAAACTCCCTGAGCATCCTGGGTCACATGGCATCATGCACACATATAGTAAACACGCAAGACTATGACTCCAACTTCTACAAGCCTGGCTAGCCAGTCTACTCCCCCTCTTGCCATCACTTTGACTCAGTGCTCAGAATTCCAGTACAGGTCCTTGACTTGCTAATTTGGTGGTTGGACAGCCAGATTGTATGTGCAGGGGTACCCTTCTTGAATCCCCAGCCGTCCTTGTCTCTGGTATGCGATGTGTTGGCCCTGGCTAAGGAGCCCACCTAGGATCCCTCAGAATTCAAGATCTTTGGACTCAAGAAGAGCTCTCTCTCTGCACATCAATGTCAGGGAACTTAGGGCAGTGTGTCTAGCCTGTCTGGCAAATCCATTTTAATCCTCACTGACAATATGATTGCTATGTTCTACATAAACAGGCAGGGTGGGCCGTGTTCTTTTCCCCTGGGCCAGGAAGCAATCCATCTGTGGGAGTTCTATAACAATCACTCCATCAGTCAGAGGTATCTTACGTTCTTGGGACTCAGAACCAGCTGACAGATAGCCTCAGCAGATCTTTCTCCTCTTACCACGAGAGGTCTTTCTGTCCAGACATTGTGAGGGACATCTTCCTGTGGTGGGGGACTCCCCTTATAGATCAGTTTGCCACCTGAACCAACAGGAAATGCTCCCAGTTCCCCCTGCGAGGTCACAGCCCAGGGTCTCTCGCAGATGCGTTCCGGTTACAGTGTACAAAGCACCTGTACTACACATTTCCTCCTATCCCACTGATTCACAAGGTTTTGATGAAGATCAGGTGGGACTGAGCATGGGTCATCCTCCTAGCCCTGGTGTGGCCCAGGCAACATTGGATCTCCACCCTTCTAGCCATGGAAATGGAGACACCACTGTAATTTCTGCTGAACCCAACTTGATATCCTGGGGTCATGGCCGACTGCGGCATTTGTACCTCGCGTCCCTTCATCTGACAGCCTGGAAGGTCCATGGCTGAATCCAGAGGAGTTTGCTCAGAGCAAGTCCATGAGATCCTAATGGGCAGTAGAAAACTATCTACCAGAGCCACATACCTGACGAAATGGAAGTGATCTTCCATCTGGTGTTCCTGCCCTTGCAGCCATCCCTGCAATTTATTCTAGATTACCTGCTTCTGCTCGGACAACAAAGTCTAGCCCTTTCATCAGTCAGGGATTCCCATCCCCATATGGGACCTAAACCTTGTCCTGTCAAAGTTCATAGGGCCCCCATTTGAACCCTCTGGCAACATGCTTGCTGTTGCATCTCCCCAGGAAAGTAGGCTTCCTGCTGGCCATCACTTTGGCCAGGCGGGTTTTGGAGATCCAAGCCTTTACCTTGGAGCCCCCATATACGGTCTTTTTCAAGGACAACATTCAGTTGAGACCACACCCGAGATTCCTTACGAAAGAAGTCTCACAATTCCATTGCTATCTAGCAGTTTTTCTGCCAGTGTTCTGCCATAAGCCACATGCGAATAGAGAAGAATATTGCCTCCGTTCGTTGGACATTCAGTGTGCCCTGTCTGTTTTACATACAAAGAACCAAACCATTCCACAGATCAACTCAGCTGTTCATAGTAATAGCAGAAAGAATGAAAGGTCGTCTCATTTCTGCGTAGAGAATCTCATCGTGGATTACTTTGTGTCTCAGAGCATGTTACAAGCTTGTGGATATTCTGCCCCGGGCTAACCTACAGTGCATTCTACAAGGTCCCAAGCCTACTCTGCCGCTTCTTTGGCACAAGTTCTAAATCAGGACATCTGCAGGGTGGCAACTTGGTTGTCAGTTCACACGTTCATGACTCGCTATGCCATTACACAACAGGACAGAGCATGCCAGCTTTGACTGGGCTGTGTTACAGTCGGCCTGTCCTTCATCTCCAAACCCACCTCCAGTGCAACTGCTTGTGAGTCGCCTACATTGGAATGGACATGTTAAAGCACTTGAAAAAGAAAAAAAGGTTACTAGCCTTTCTGTAACGGTTGTTCTTTGACACATTGCACGTGTCCATTCCAAAACCTATCCTCCGTCCCTTCTCCCAGAGGCGGTCAGCAAGAAGAAACTAAAGGGGAGCGGGGTTGGCGGGGTCCTGTATACTGACGCTATTAGCACGTGACTCCAGGGGGCGCTAGAGCTGATCCAACAGATACAACTAAGGGGAAAAAATCCAGCAACTCTGCTCGGGGCACGCACACACCTCCATTGGAATGGACATGTGCAACACATCTCAAAGAACAACAGTTACAGAAATGTTAGGAACTGTTTTTGGTCCATTGCAATATGTTTTAAAAAATATTAACTGAACGATAAAATTACAGGGTTCACGAGATAAAGACAAAGCTGAGAGGAAGCGAAAAGCTGAGATTGCCAGGCTGCGCAGAGAGAAGATCATGGCTCAGATGTCTGAGATGCAGCGGCACTTCATTGATGAGAACAAAGAACTCTTTCAGCAGACTTTAGAAGAACTAGCTACTTCAACCTCCAGAGTACTCGATAACAGGTGAAGGGAAAACATTTTAAGTAAAACTTTGAGAGAGTTGATAAATCTCTTTTGTTACTTTCAAATCAAATATTCTCTAGTCTTTCTATTTGAACTCAAAAGCTAAATTTTCCTTTTCTCAGCAGACAACTGTCCAGCTCTTTCAGACCATTTGTTGCTTTTTTCAGACCACTTTTTTTCTGCACACTGCTAAGATTATAGCCGAATTGCACTAAATATCCATGACTGATTGATTCAGAAAATTAAACAGACAAAAAAAAACCCCCAAACCTGCCTGACTTATAAAATCTTGGTTACGAAGTGTGGTCAGCATGATAATTAATTGTTAATTATACTAGGGAAAGTTGTTTTGGACATAGGGAAGTGGGACTAACTAGTATCTGTTTGTGAGGGGTGGGGAAAAATTATTTATAACCAACTGAAGATCCAAATTACAGTGTATTTTGTGGGGGATTGGCAGGTGGAAAACATGTCGTATTTGGTATGTGAAGCAGTTGGGGACAGCTGGGAAAAGTACAAGCGTGGCCTCTACTTATATAGGAGTAGGCAGTGTATAGAAATGAAGCTTCATTGCTCCCAGGGGAGGATTTCTGTTTTATCTGGTCTGAATCAAGATTTATAAAACTCTCTGGTAGTACTTATGAAATCCTGAATGTAGTATTCCAAACCCAACAATAGACCATTAATGTTAAAAAACCTACATTAAGAGTGTTAAAATGTCATCTTAAACTAGCAAAACCAATCTGTTAAGAAGTTGTTGGGTAGAAACCAAAGCCTCCAGTATTTGATTGAGTTTGGATGCTATCTTTAATGATAACCCCTGTGTACTAGGTGTAATTGGATATTAAATTATTGTCCCCCTAGTTGTAAACTTTAAACAACACACCAAATTAAACACTAAGATTTGCATACACATCTCTAGCTTTTACTTTCAAGCTTAGTTTTAATGATTTAACTGCAATTTTAATCTGGAAACAGTTAAAATATGATTTCAAGAAAGCCAAGAATATTTTCCTGTTGTCAACATCTGGAGGACGTAAGGTCTCTCTGAAATGTATTGTTGTACAGTGGTTTTTGGGGACACATGCATGGATGTATATGCAGTAACTCCTCACTTAACATCCTAGTTATGGTCTTGAAAAATGCAACTTTAAGCGAAATGATGTTAAGTGAATCCAATTTCCCCATAAGAATTAACCTCCCCCCCAATTTACATTATGTTTCAGGGGATTTTTTTTTGCCAGACAAGACATTATATACATATACAGTATAAGTTTTAAATAATTTAAACAAACAATTTAATACTGTAGTCACCAATGATTGTGAAGCTTGGTTGAGGCAGGGCGTAGCGGGGTTGGAGCACTGGGGCTTGCCATGCTCCGCCCACCGGGCGCTCCAGCCGGGGAGTGGGGTCTGGGTGCCAGGTCTTGCCCTGCTCTGGGCGCTCCAGACAGGGAGCGGGCAAGCCACTGCGCCTGGACCCCGCTCCCAGGCTGGAGCACTGGGCAGGGGAGCCAAACAATGTTACAAGGGAAAGTTGCAGGACTTTAAAGGAGTATGTTCTCTAATAGATCAGCAACCTAATAACAAAACGTTAACCGGGACAACATTAAGTGTGGGGTTACTATATGACAAATGTTTGCTTATTTACAAAATTAAAATGAATGAACATAAAACTACATCAGTAAACTAATAAAAACTTAAAGCATGATCTAATTTAAATGTCAAATGATGTACTCACTAGTATAATTTGATTTCAGTCCTACAGTTTCAGATACAAAGCTTACAGCTTTGGGACCAAAGCAAACTAGAGTGACTGAACGGAGACAGGTTGTTACCTGTATATTGTGTCAAGAAGAACAGGAGGTTAAAGTGGACAGCAGGGCTATGGTCTTGGCAGCATTTGTTCAGAGATCAACTGTATTGTCTAAAAACCGGAACAAAGTTATTCAGGATCCTGGTAAGTTGTGTTCATATTTTTACTATAACATTCTGAAAGAATCATCTGTATCTGCCTTGTTTCTTATTCTGAAGTAGATGTGTTCCACTGTGCCCCTTTTCATTAGTTAACTATATAATTGTGAGCAAGTTCAAACGTAGTCAATGGCAAAACGCTTGTTGACTTTGTTAGGAACATGCCTCATAAGTGGTAGCTAGGAAACAGGCAATATAATATCTAAAATGCTTCTTCTAGTCATAATTATAAATTCAGTTACTGAAAACTGAGGTGTGTCAGGTGAAGGTACTTTATATTTTTGTGGGTAGAGTAATGGGAATCAGAGAGTGGCAATAGGGATGTATTGGAGCTGATCTACAAGTCATTAAAAGGCTTGTGCGTGTGAAGCCATTAAATGTTTCCCAGTTATTTGAGTTTGTAACACCAAGCCATTCCTCAGTGGCTTTCAGATGTTAGTCCCACGTTTTTCTTTATTCCATCCCAATTATTGGTGTAACTGGAAGCCTGATAGCGCAAGATGTAGCAAAAATACCCCACTGTCTGGTAGGCAGAGCCTGAAACAAAATATGCTATAATAAATTAAGAGGCAGTGCTGATATCTAGCTGCAGTGGCAAATGGAGCTGCCTGCCCCAGTGTTTCAAATAGACCTTTCACTATGCATGAGGAGGCTTGTTAGGAGCAGAATTACCGGCTCAGCTTCATGATTGCCTCAGCCAGTGAAACTCCTATAATTTTCTGCCTGAGGATGTCTGCAGTGCAGGTGGGAGTGAGCTACACAGCCTGCCTATACAGACTCATTAGCAGGGTCCAGGCTAGCATATACATGTATAAAGGTGAATGTTCCTGCTCCATCTTTCAAACTCACTCTATCCTGTAGGCTTGAGAGCTTGAGTTGGAACGTCCTACGTTGATATTTTTAGTGTGTTAGTACTAGCTCCCAGCTGCAGCATAGACATACCATCAGAGTCTCCCGATTTTTCTCCCCCATTTATACCCTCCTCAGAAATCACCCTGGGCCCTAACCTCTCACTACACAGAGGATATATTATGTTAGGACATAAATTGTACCTATATCAGTTGTTCTATACCTGGATTTATGTTAAACATTTGGCAGCAGTCAGTTCATTTAATGTGTATAAGTGACATATGCCTTAATAATCTGTATAAAATATTTCTCAATACAGGTGTTTTTTTTTTTCTTGTTAGATTCTTTTTGGTAGACAAACTCAGAAAAAACACTTTGGTTTCAAGACTTTACTGGAACAGCTCATTTTTGGTTGGTTGGGATTGCCTCATCTGAAATATTCTCTGTTCATATTACGTGTATGCAAATACACAATATTTTTCTGTACTACATCATACCTCTCTATTCCACTTATATAAAATTAATAATGTTCTGTAGGCCTGGTTTTCCCCCACCCCCCCAGGGTGCTGAACACTCAAAATTCCAGTTAAACGGAATGGGTGCTGCTTGTGTTCAGTGCCTCTGAAATTCAGGGCCTGTTTGTTTGATTTCATCTTTAATAACTAATTATTATGTATTTATAACTGAACCTTTAAACTGTGTTTCAGATAACCTAGCTAAAAAGTAGATTAGTAGAGCTCGGTAGTGTGCTTTAAATTGACTTTCTCGAAGGAATAATAAAAAAAGGCGATTCTTTAATAACATTTAATAAAGCATGTAAATGACAAATGTAAATATTTTAATGTCAGAAATAAACATCTATTTATTATAGAAAGATTTAAATGCAAAAATGTTTGTTTTTATGCAGAAAAATATGACCCATTATTCATGCATCCAGAGCTGTCATGTGGAACACACACGGGTAGCTGTGGACATATTATGCACGCTCACTGTTGGCAAAGGTAATTGCCATGTTTAGAGTTAACAGAAGTGAACTTTATTTTCAGCTAGACATAAATGATCCAATCCTGCTTCCACTAATAGCAGTTGGAGTCTTAACGTTTACTTCAGTGGAAGGATTAGATTTCAAATACATAATTTAAAATAAAGGCTGTTATAGACCAATAAAGATATCTAAGATAAAAAAGAAAGATCCTATTATAGCTAAATTCAAACAAGAATTATTAGAAATGATAGTTTAGCATCTGTCATCTTGATGAGTTGTCATATAGAGAAGGAATTTACGTGCATGCTGTTACTACTTAAAAAAAATTAGTTTACCACTTAACAGTTTTAAGGTTGAGTGGATAAAAGCTTAAATAATGTCTGTAGAAGCTAGAATGGCTTACCTTCATATGTAAATAGTATTTGTATAATGCTAGGATATTGCCATAATATTAAATATACATCCTGAAATGATCAATACTTTACAGCCATTGCTAGTTTTTAATGTTTAAAAAAAATGTTTGAATTCTTGCTTAATCTGGAGTTGAGCAAATAATTTGCCGTGAATAACTTATTTGTGCAATATAGCTTTTTTTCTGCTTGTAGGATGTCCATATTTTCTTGAGTTTGTTCTTTAATTAGCTAGACTGCTATTTTTGCCGATACGTCTTGTTGCAACTATTCAGTATTCAAATGTTGAGCTTCGTTAGTTTGTTGATTAGTCACAAGTCTTTACAGCATTGCTTCTGTTTCCTGATTAGAACATAGTTTATGATCAGGAAAAGAACTTGAATAATAGTGGAAGTTGGCAGTGTGTAAGGGTTTGTCTACACTTGGAAAATTACTAAAATAGCTATTCTGGAATATTTATTTCAGTATAAGCGCCCATGTGGACACTCTCTTTCTTATTTTGGAATAAGTTCCCTTTTCTCATTTAGCTTAATCCACTTCCCAAGTGGCTTACCATCAAGATTTGTTTCTGCTGCTCTGAGCAAGCAGACTCCCATACTGCACTCAGGATGGAGTTCTATGTTTGGAATTTTGATTCTTTAGTTCTGGAGCACTTATTACTGAATAAAACTTTTGTCTTGGTACTTTGGTTTCTCTTGCAATGGCCAACAAAATTGTGAACAGAGAACATTCTTTTTATGAAAATTTGAAGAGGCACTATTCATTGCTACAACTATTTTTTTTCTGAATAAACCTGAAGTCTAGGATTCTCCCCAAACCCTTCTTCTTACAATTTATTTAAAACTTACTTTAAAAAAAATCTAGAAAATCCTGATCTTTAAACCTGGAAATAATCTTACTTTAAGCCATCTTGAGGTCCATTGGACTAATTCTTTTGGTTTAAAAAATTAGCTAGAGCTAGCAATTCATAATTTTTGATCAACAAGAATATAATTTTCATATCCAATATTTGTATTTTAGATAATGTTCTTACATGAGCATGGAAAAAATGTCTGTACGTATTGATTCATACATTAAAATAGTATTTTACTGACAAACATTAAATTAATATATTGTTTTCTAAAGGTATTTTGATGCTGTTCAAGCAAAGGAGCAACGAAGACAACAGAGATTACGAGTGCATACAAGTTATGATGTAGAAAATGGTGAATTCCTTTGCCCTCTTTGTGAATGTTTAAGCAACACTGTTATTCCTCTGCTTCCTCCACCAAGAGGTTTATTTAACAGGTCAGTTTGCTTTTATAAGTATCCTTGTTAACTATGGAAAAAGCCCACTCTTAAATCAAATTTGTAATTAAGATATCTGTGTAATCTAAAGAATCAGGGCCCAATTCTGCACATGTCTGTTACCAGAGCTACACATAAGTGCCATGTGAGATGGTAAATGTTTGCACAGTTGGGAGGAGCATGTGTACTTATAACAAATTTTAAAATGTTTTACTGTTCATGAAACTGGAATATGAATTAAACAGAATCAATGAACTACAGAATTGCCAACTCGCATTGTTCTAGAGAGTCTTGTGATATTTTTTTAAAAGCTGCTCATCTCAGGAACAGCAGATATTGTCATGTGAAACTCCTGAACTTTTCAAAATTGTCACCATTTCCCATTATTTTGATAATCTGAATCTAGTACCAGGCTGCCCTCAGTCAAGATAGCTGCCTCTTGTGCTTTGTGGTTGGGAAATGAGGATAACTGTGAGCAGAGAAATGTGTGGAGGACAGAGAGGACGATTGGTAGGAGTCGGGAGTATAGAGTGGCAGGAAGGGTGACCGATTGGAGTCAGCAGGAGAGGAAAGGGCTGGAAGGAAATTTGGACTGTAAAAGGAGAATGGGAATGGATGGAAAGGGGAAAGGCAGGAAAAATCAGGGAGAAAGGTGAGTGTTGGGGTAAAGATGGGTGCAGAAAGGAAAGAATAGCTGCTTCTGCACACCAAGGAGTGGAGTTTTCCCTCCAATTACCAGGGGAGGAGAATCTCTCATTGTTGTGTGTGTATTTTTGTGTACGTGCAAGGTTGAATTTTCCACTTGATATGATCTCACAGGCACTGAGGATTTCCCTCAGTCAGAAAGCAGACCTCCAAAACAACTATAATTTATTCTTGTTAAATCATATGTACGAATTCCATTATTTTGGTGAGTAGAGCGTGGTGGTTTCTTGCTTTAATTATTTCGGTAAGAACTTCAAATACCTTTGGGCTTAGGTGCCCTGTACATACGTTTATTACAAGTTTTAAACATTAAATATTTATTTTCAACATGTGGCAGGGCTCACTTGCTCCTGCCTCTGCTCAAGTCCACAAACAGCTCAGCTCTTTTTGCTGATAAAACACCCAGTGCAGTTTATTTACAATATTAGGTTCCACCATCCTTATACAATATATAGCCTCACCCCTATAGTCCATAGGGAGCCCTCAGCTCCTTAGGCAAGCAGAGGAGAGTGATCTCTCTCTTTTTGCTTCCTCCATTTCCATCTTGTGCCTCTTGTATCATCTGTGTAATGGCCTAATTAGCCTCTTAGTTCTCCTCAACCCATCAATTAGGCACAGCTCTTCTTAGTAAGATCTGTTCTAGAGTAGTTAGAGTTCCAGTGACCAGAGTGCTGGCTCAGCTGTTGTTGCCCAGCACCCTGTCACAAACCTACAATTCTTAAGCTCTTTTTAGATAGCAGACCACAAAGTTTCTGTGCTAAGTTATTATAAGTTACTGATAATAGTGGACTGCATCAGTGTGCCTCTGTAGGATAAAACTAAATCTTGCATTAGTGCTGTGGAAGCCCCCACAAAGCAGATGAGGACATGAATACAATTTTCTTCAGTATGTCTGTCTCTGTTGCAGTAGTCCACAGACAGCACATCTCCACATAACAATGAATTGTGGAGCTTCTCCAGGTCAAATGTTGTCAAAGCAGATAAAACTAAAAAGGGTGACTTTTCTGTAGATTACAGTACTGCTTATCTGTTAGCATTTGTAATAGTCTTGTGACCATGAAAAAAGATATATTTACATACAGTCCCTTTTATTCAAAGACACTTCATACAGCAAGTTCTCTTTGTGCAATCCATTAATATTTGTTTTGATCATTATCTATTGAAAATTTTATTGCCTACATAAACGCACATATATGTTCAAAACTCTCTTCAGTAACACAAGTTCTGGAATATAATAAACATTTTTTAATGGTATCCTGATAAATTTTAGATTGGGTTTATAGAAAAAATATCTAATTTAAAAGATATGTGTAGTACAGTGGCACATGGCAGAACCTGTAGTTGAGTGAACGTCAGTAATTATCAGATTAAGAGGTCAGAGCAGCATTAAAGAGATTTGCTCTGCCAGAGTAGAATCCACCACACTCAAACTATGTCATGTGGATTAGTTGTCGTCCATCCCCCTCCTTGAACGCTGTCTTATTTCTCCCAGCAAGTACATTTTACAGGGGCAGTAACAAAACTATGTCCACACAACTTGAAACAGAGACTTTTGTGGTTAAGAATTTACTAATTGTAACATGGGTAAAAAGTCCTATTTGCAACCCAAAAAAACTAACAATAATTCAAACATGAAATTTGATTCTGTTGAAACTAAAATCTTTATGGAGACCTTAAGGCTTCAGGATTTGTGAATTTCTATTATCCCTATTGATAATAGCATACAGATAATACTTTGAATAAGGTGTTTGATGATATAGCTATCACAGTGAGTTGGTCTTCTGAATGAGGGGGTAGGAGATTTTAGCAAATGTGTAAGATGCACCACTGCAGAATATAGGAAAATTACCGTATATACTCGTTCATAAGCCGACTTTTTTTAGTAAAAAAGGGAAGCACCAGAGACGGGGGTCAGCTTATGAACAGGTGTAGAGAGGGAGAGGTGGGACACAGCCCCTCCCCCCCAACAGAGGGAGCAAAGAGACGCAACACAGTTAGCAGAGACAGAAGGGAAAAGGCGGGGGGGGGGCAGTCTCTCTCCACTTCTGGCCTCACGGTTCTCCCCCCAGCCTCCAAAGCAGCTGCAGCTGTGCTACTCGGTCCCACCCCCCTCCAGAGCAGGCTGTGGCCGTGCCGCCTGGGCACCGGAGCACACTGCGGCCACGCCGCCCAATCTGGCCCGCCAGAGCAGGCTGTGGCCGCGCTGCCCAGCCTGTTGGAGCAGCTCCAGGCAGGTCAGAGATATCCTCCCCGGCCCTGCCCAGATAAGGAGGAGTGGGATGGGATGGGGAGACTATGGGGGTCCCGGGCTAGCGGTGGGGTCATGTGGAGGGTGGTCACAGGGTTACTCCCCTGACTTCCAGCTTCTCCCCCCGTCCCCCCAAAAAATTTCCCCAGCAGTTGCTGTCCTGGCCCGTCAGGGTAAGCAGCTGGCGCACCAGGACACTTTGTTTATTTAGGTTTACCTAAGTGCCTGCGGACTCTCGAGGTAAACAAACTATCTCAGACCACCAACGGCTTATCCTGATGGCCTGGGAGCCAAAGTTTGCTGACCCCTGAATTATAGGGTCGGCTTATGAACAGGTTATAAAAATTTTCCATTTTTACTTATCCATCTTGGGGGGGTCATCTTATAAACGAACTGGCTTATGATCGAGTATATACGGTAAGAGTAGTACTTTACATGGTAAATCCAAATAATCTATAAAATATGCACACGTACCAGATATTCTATGCCACAGTGGAGCAGGACTGTGTTTCAGTTAAAAATAATAATAATAATTAAAAAAAATTACTCATTCCCTTAAAATTATAATGGCATATGGTGATGGTTTGTTGCATTTTGAAGTATAATTATGGTTTTCACCCTTCTTCTCCCATAATCTTAATATCAGATTTTTTTCTCAAACTTTGTGCTCACCCTTACATAGGAGAAATTATGCAAATTATTTTTTTCACAAAGAGAACACAATATCTATTCTGAACTAGTTTAATTTTTAAAAAATGTGTGTATTCTGTCTTTTGATAGGTTGGATTTTTCAGACCAGCCAAATCTAGCTCAATGGATGAGAACAATATCCCAGCAAATCAAAGCATTATATATACTTCGCGATGAAGAAACTGCTAGTAAGTCTGAAGATCTAATATTCTATATCCTGAAGTATGGAAATGTTATTGTCACTGAAAAGAGACTCAGCAAATTATCACTTAGACATGGAGGCTTTTACCTCCTGGTATTTTATTTAAATCCAGATCAGGTTGATCGTCTCTCTGAAAGTTCGCATCGGATAACTGCTCCTATGTGAATTGATTTTGGTGGTCTCCAATTAGTTCTTAATGTACCAGTTCCATATGTCACAACTGATATAACTGGCAACCATGTTTGCAGTCTCAGTACTGAAGCCAAGAATTAAATGGCAATGAAGGTTGAATTAACACTTTCCATACAGCTGGTCCTTCCATAGTACAGTTGAGATGATGCTGGCAAAAAAATGTGATGAAAGTTATATAGCCACTGCCCATGTTTATAATTATTCTGAGGAATTCAGAACTTCAGTTTCTAATGTTATCAGTCTGCAACTTTCATGAGCAGTAAAATTCACATATAGATGAATTAATATAATTACAGCATTTATTGGACTTCTTTTATACAGATAATTCTTGTGGTAATTCAGAAAAAATGGATGAGCTACAGCTACCTAAAGGATTTAGGCCTGACTTCCAACCAAAGTATGTATTTCAGCTTTAAAAATTATTCATACCTTTGTTATAGCAGGGATATAGGACTAAAACTGGAGTATATTTGTGTCCTCTAGTGCTTCAGCTGAATAAGCTAAAGAACTCTGAATCCCACTTCCATTAGAGGAGCTGAGCTTATGTTGAGAATTGGCCATTGTACACCACTACTTTTGCACTACAGTCAGGCCTCGATTTACACGGTGGTTATGTTACTCCCCAAAAGACGGTGCAAATAGAAATCGCATAAAAAAAATACCAAGGGTCTATGGGACATAAGGGTTTAGGTTCCAGGCTCACAAGATGACCTCCCTAATTTATACAATACAGTACAGTATTGCAGGTTTTATTCAAAAAAAAAATTAACGAAATTTAAACTTATTACAGTACAGGTACTAATCTTTACTGATGTTGAAGATGCACTTGATAGAGTATCAGCATCATGTTGTTGAAGTCAGAAGTCTGAGTGTTCATCTGGGGTGTCTGGGGAGTGTGGAGCAGTGTGTGGGGGGGAGCCCTGACGGGACAGGAAGGATGGGGCTGCTTCCACTCACCTCCTCCAGCCGGCCTTGTGGGGGGCCATAGACACTCTGGCAAGGGGGGGCACCCCAGGCACGCACTTGGGACAGGGGGTTGGGGTGCAGCGGCTTGCACTGCTCCGCCCACCCACCTGGTGCTCCTGCCAGAGAGTGGGATCGGGGGCTTGTCCCCCTCCGCCCGACCAGCGCTTCTGCTGGAGAGCAGGACCAGGGGCTTGCCCCTCGCCCCCCGCCCAGCGCTCCTGCTGGAGAGTGGGGTTAGGGGCACGCCCCGCTTGGGCCGCCTGGCTGAAATGCCAGGCAGGTGGAGTGGGGTAAGCCCTCCTGCCCCGACCCCGCTCTCTGGCAGGAACACCCAGTGGAGTGGGGCGAGCCCTAGGGCTGGAGCAGAGTCGGGGTCGGTGGGCCTGGATGCTAAGTGGGTGGGTTGCGGCCCACCCGTGGCTATGGAGTGGAGGTGGCGGAAGAGGGGTTGGTGGTGGAAGATGTGCAAAAAAGAACTGATTATGGTCAGTTGTTTGGCCTTCTTCTGTATGTCTTTGTAAACTTCCCTGTAAGGAGGCAGCACACCCTCAAGCTCTCTCATGAATTTCAAACTACGTTCCATGAATGGATCTTCAGCCCAAAAAAAAAGTCTCAGCGTTCCTTGGCCAATCGAAAACAGTTATCCAGATTCTTCATTGTCTTTTGCAGCTTCGGTGCCAACTCCACCTCCTCACTGCCCTCGTCACTGGTGCTTGACTGAATCAGCTCCTCCAGCTCTCTCATTGAGCTTGGTGGGTGGGACTCGAGTAGCTCCTCTCTCTCTGTTTCCTGGAGATTGTCAAATCCCTCCACTCCTACACTACCACCCAGCTCTGTAATTTTCTCCACCTCGTGTTGCATTTCGGGGAAGCCACGAAAATCAGTCACTACCTTTCTCCACAAGTTTTTCCAACATGCATTGATGGTGGAAGGCTTTATTTCATGCAGAGACTTTTATATTTTTAATACACTCTGCTATTTTGTAATTCTTCCAGCACTGGGTCACTGTTAAGCTTGGATCACTGTCCACAGCATCTAGGATACGGCGAATGGTGCAGCGAGTGTAATAAACTTTAGAAGTGGCGATGACAACTGGGTCAAGGGGCTGAAGGAGTGATGTGTTTGGAGGCAGAAAAACCACCTCCACATTGGGATGCACAGCCTGAAGGCTTGCAGGGTGGTCCAGAGCATTATCAAGGATCAGTAGGACCTTAAATGCCAGGTAGCATTCCATTTCATGCACAGAACAATTATGAAACCAGTTCACAAAAAGCACTGAAGTGACCCACACATGCTGATTAGACCTCCAAAACATGGGTAGCTGATATTTATTTTTGCCCTTGAGTGCATGGGGGTTCTGGGCTCGGTAAATGAGCATTGGCTTTATCATAAAATCCCCCGTTGCATTTGCACAGATGAGAAGGGTCAGTCGATCTTTCGCAGCCTTGAAACCTGGAGCAGATTTCTCATCTTTTGAAAGAAAGGTTTTCTTTGGCATCCATTTCCAAAATAAGCCAGTCTCATCAGGTTACAAAGTTTTTAACACATTCTCCTCAATGAGTTCGGCCAGCTCAGGTGGAAACCTTGCTGCTGCTTCATGATCTGCAGATGCATCTTCACTGACCAATTTAACATTATGCAGCTCATACCTCCATTTGAACTTCTCAAACCATCCCTTGCTGGCTATAAAAGTAGTTTCCTTTGCTACACTGCTCTCCCCCAAAGTTGATGTAGCATCCTGTTTTAAGTGATCATACAATTTCTTAGCTTTTTCTCGAATCGCTGGCCCATCCAGTGGAACCCTTTTCTGTTTTTCATCCTCAATCCATATGTTCATTGCTTTGTCCATCTTTTGTATGTAATATCAAGAGTATAGAATGACACTTTAGCACTTTTAGGTGCACTTGCAGCAACACTTGCTCTAATTTTTGCCTCATTTCTCTTCACTGTACGCACGATCGACTCATTAAGGCCATAAGCCCTAGTCACGGATGATGAACCTTCACCCTTAGCGCGCCTATCCAACATTTCCACTTTCTGTACTAAAGTCAACACTTTTTTTTTCTGCTTCTTCACACATGACACATCATTTTTTGAGTCACTTTCTCTCAATTTCCTCTTAGAGCTCATGGTAAACACTTATTATGGGTGATAAATAGCGGCTTAAGTTAAGCGAACAACGTGCCAATATCCCATTACACACTGAGAGCAGCGTGGTGAAGGAAGGGCGGGAAACGACGAGTTTAGACACATCGGCGCTAGGGGCGTAGACAAGGGTGGGCTTTGACCCACCCCCTTAGCATCTAGCCTCTCTCTCCCCCT